TTGTGAAATGATGTATTTCAGCCTCCTGTTCATCTCAGAGTGATGAGAGAAACCTGACAGAAAGTTCATGATTAGCTGAATTGATTCACAAACCATGTTGACTGGTTCTGCAGTTGATCACAAGGATGAAGCTGATCATCTGTAATGTTCTCTGTAGTGAAGAGCGCTGCAGATCCAGCCGGGATTCACTAGTTGGCACTGCAGTCCTAGAAATGCTCGTCTCAGCAGAATCCCTGTAGCACACTGACATACAGTTCTAGTGTGATTTTATCTAGGCAGACGTGTAACAATATTAAAGAGAGCAGGAGATAAGTTAGTCTTATTCTGCATTATTTTATACAGAATATTTTATTATTTACAATAAAATTATTCATGTTGGTAAAGTCAATCGATGTCCAGAAGGCAGACGTGATCGATCTGAAATCATCGAGCTGCCACACACTAAACCAGTGTCTTCTCGTTCTTCAAGCAGTATTTATTGTTCGTAACGCCTGTGAGACTGTAGATGTCTGATTCTTCTGTGCTTCTGCTTTTCCTTCCAGTTGACTGCATTTCTGTGACGTGCTGCTGCCTTAGGCTCAAAATGCTGCTTTAGAGGATAAAAATAGATGAACAACAGCCACACACACTCTCTCTCTCTCTCTCACACACACACACACACTCTCTCTCACACACACACGCACTCTCTCTCACACACGCACTCTCTCTCACACACGCACTCTCTCTCACACACGCACTCTCTCTCACACACGCACTCTCTCTCACACACGCACTCTCTCTCACACACGCACTCTCTCTCACACACGCACTCTCTCTCACACACGCACTCTCTCTCACACACGCACTCTCTCTCACACACGCACTCTCTCTCACACACGCACTCTCTCTCACACACGCACTCTCTCTCACACACGCACTCTCTCTCACACACACACGCACACTCTCTCTCTCTCTCTCACACACGCACACTCTCTCTCACACACGCACACTCTCTCTCACACACACACGCACTCTCTCTCACACACACGCACACTCTCTCTCACACACGCACTCTCTCTCACACACACACGCACTCTCTCACACACACACACTCTCTCTCTCTCTCTCTCTCTCTCTCTCTCTCTCTCTCTCTCTCTCTCTCTCTCTCTCTCTCTCTCTCTCTCTCTCTCTCTCTCTCTCTCTCTCTCTCTCTCTCTCTCTCTCTCTCTCTCTCTCTCTCTCTCTCTCTCTCTCTCTCTCTCTCTCTCTCTCTCTCTCTCTCTCTCTCTCTCTCTCTCTCTCTCTCTCTCTCTCTCTCTCTCTCTCTCTCTCTCTCTCTCTCTCTCTCTCTCTCTCTCTCTCTCTCTCTCTCTCTCTCTCTCTCTCTCTCTCTCTCTCTCTCTCTCTCTCTCTCTCTCTCTCTCTCTCTCTCTCTCTCTCTCTCTCTCTCTCTCTCTCTCTCTCTCTCTCTCTCTCTCTCTCACACACACACACACACATGATGTGGTGCTGATGGTGTGTGTTAAATGTACTGGTTTTCAGGGACGGAGCAGCTACAGTCAGACATTACCAGATTAAAGAAACAAACGGCTCACCAAAACAGTTTTACCTGGCAGAGAAATACATCTTCAACAGCATTCCTGAACTTATAGAGTACCACAAACACAACGCCGCAGGTACAACACACACACTGCCTACAGTTACAGCAAAGCAGACATGTTTTTGTGTAAATGTGTAATAGTGTGTGTGTGTGTGTAGGTCTTGTTTCCAGGCTCCGTCATCCTGTCGGCGATCAGACGAGAGAAGCTCCTAAAACAGCAGGATTCAGCTACGGTAACACAGTCACACACTACACGCTGGAATACACATCATCAACATCAATCTTAAAACACACTCTTATGGACTTTGAACATGATTACAGAGAGAAACTGAACATCACACAATATATGTCAGCTCAAAATATCAGACATGTTTGATCTGCTCTGACTGGATGGAATCTCAGTCTGAAGATAAAATAATCAGTCACGTTCAGATCCGCCTCCATTTCTGAGTGCCACGCCCACATCTCAACATCCAATCAGCAACTGATGCACACAATCAAGACCCGCCCTACATTTTTTCTTCTTTTTTTGATGATGCGTTTCACTCACATTTCACAATATAGACATCACACTCCGACGATTTCCTGAGAAATGTGTCAGATCCGACAAACCAATCTGTACAGGTCAAACGTCATGGTGTGTATTCCAGCTTTAACACACTGAACACACACTGACACTGAGTTTCCCAGAGTTTATGGAAAGCTAATCATATTAAATCATAAAAGTAGTAAATTAAAATCATTTAATTGAAAAAGAAAAAAAATCTTCTTTTATTGCCTCTTTTATCGCTCTTAAAGTCCATGTACAGCAATATTACATGTGTGTTCTGAGTTTGTCACACCCAGCCAAATTTGAGTGATTCAAAACGCCAAATAAATAAAATAAGGTATCAAAATCTTGAAAAGGTAAGCAGTATTCTCTGCTCTCAAATGCTGGGGGCGTGTCCTCTGTCAGCACTGAAACCACGCCCACTCGCGGGAAAGCTGCCGCCTCTCTCAACTGTCACATTTCAATAAGGAGACCGAGCTGTTTTGTAAATTATGTGGTTACGTGGCGAAGGCATAGCTAGCTAGCAAACTGTAGGCTGTAGTAAGTAACGGTAATGACAGTAACTGGCGATGGAGCGGGTGAAGCACTGATGCTTATGCGCTCGAGTTATTAGCATGTTAGGGGCGGGGCCGTGCTCAGAGGCTCCAGTGCGTCATCAAGACGTGATTTAAGCCCCGCCCAAAAAATCCTATGGTGCTGCTCACATGGCAAAAAAAAAATTAAGTACCGTAATTTCAATTAAATGATTGTGCTATATTTTAATTTGATAATGTTTTTTATTTATTATTCTCTATTTTTAGGGCATTTTATGATACTAAATTATATTTATGGAATAGTTATGATCCAATTATTACCTGTTAAAAGTTTTTTCAAAACATGTTCTACTCTAAAATTGTCAGAAAATCAAAGCCATAAATCTAAACGAGTTGTGTTCCAAATTTGAAGTTGATATCGGAAAAAAATGAGCTTTCAGTCAGACTTTGTTTGGCTGCCGTACCAAACGTTTCCACCAGGTGAAATCTGTTTCCACTCGGTCATTTTTCACCATGAACAGTACAAGTGTGACTATTTATTTCAGGACCTAAAATAATATTTATGATCATTAACTGACATCAGAGAACCGTAAACATGTCAGTGTGTTGATAAATTATTGAAGCTTGACGTTTCAGGGAAAGGGGTTTGGCTGTCAAAGCCGTTTGTGAGCATGATGATGGTGTGACGAGTGAAGAAACCGTGTGTGTGTGTGTGTGTGTGTGTGCGCAGATAAATGGGAGATCAACCCATCGGAGCTGACCTTCATGAAGGAGCTGGGCAGTGGTCAGTTTGGAGTGGTGCGGCTGGGCAAATGGAGAGCGCAGCATAAAGTGGCCATTAAAACCATCAGGCAAGGAGCCATGAGTGAAGATGATTTCATAGAGGAAGCCAAGATCATGATGTAGGCATCTCACACACACACACACACACACACACACACACACACACGTAGGTCAGATGTCAGCAGATGTTCCTCACATCTGTGCTGTGCTCTCAGGAACCTGTCTCACCGTAACCTGGTGCAGCTGTACGGTGTTTGCACGCAGCAGAAGCCCATTTACCTGGTGACGGAGTTCATGGAGCTGGGCTGCCTGCTCAACTACCTGCGTCAGCGCAGAGGAACACTGGGATCACAGGACCTGCTGGGAATTTGCCACGACGTCAGCCAGGGCATGCAGCATCTGGAGCAGAACGGCTTCATCCACAGAGACCTGGTCAGAAAACACACACACACACACACACACACACACACGCGCACACACACACTCACTCACTCACACACACACACACTCACTCACTCACACACACACTCACTCACACACACACACACACACACAAACTCATTCACTCACTCACACACACACAGACTCACTCTCTCTCACACACACACACACTTATATATACACACACACACACACACACACACTCACTCACACACACACACAGACTCACTCTCACACACACACACTCACTCTCACACACACACTAAACCAAACGAAGCTGTCAGTGTCTATTTAAAACAGCTGTTTTCTATGTGAATATCTGTTAGTATGTAACTTATTTCTGTGATCAAGCTGTATTTTCAGCATCATTACTCCAGTCTTCAGTGTCACATGATCTTCAGAAATCATTCTAATATGCTGATTTGCTGCTCTTGGATGATTTCCGCTGCTCTGGTGTTTCTCAGGCGGCCAGAAACTGCCTGGTCAACAGCTCGCTGGTGGTGAAGGTCTCAGACTTCGGGATGACCAGGTATCTGAACGTCTGCTTTATAACTCGCGTCTGTCATACTTGTTTTCCACTGAGAATCGGGTTGAAAGAACTATTCAAATAAACGGTAGGGCCTCATTAGGATCAGAACAGCTCAAAACAGCAGCGTCTGTGTTGTCCTGCAGGTACGTTCTGGACGATCAGTACTGGAGTTCCTCCGGAGCCAAGTTCCCCGTCAAGTGGTCCGCGCCGGAAGTCTTCAACTTCTGCAAATACAGCAGCAAATCTGACGTCTGGTCGTTCGGTGTGTAGATCAGCTTGTGACGCTGAATGAGCGCACCGATGATGATGAAGATGATGATGATGGTGCTGTGCTCCTCAGGTGTGCTGATGTGGGAGGTGTTCACGGAGGGGAAGATGCCGTTCGAACACAATCAGAACCACGAGGTGGTGATGATGGTCACTCAGGGACACCGGCTCTACCGGCCCCAGAAAGCGGCTCCGCACATCTACAGCGTCATGAAGACGTGCTGGATGGAGGTAACGGCTGAGTCCTTCACAGCCTCGCTCACATTAGGCACACTCTCCTGATGATCCGTTCACACTCGCTTGTGATTCAAATGATTCATGAAAGTAAAGAGAAAGGAAAACTTGAAATCGCATCATATGACCTCTTTAAAAGTTTCGTGTTCTTGTAGACAAACTGTCGACACTGCATTGGATAACACGGTTCACCAGAATAATGAGTCAAATGTGAAAATGCTTTTAATTTCTTAAAATCAGTCGTGTAGATGACTCTATATTATTCTGAGTACCAGTAATATTTGGTTTGCAAGCTTGACTCATTTATAGTTATGCAAATGGTCAGTTAGTTTTATTTGCATTTATGTAACTTACTGGAGCCTGAGAAAATCTAACCGGTTCCTGTGCACATGGGCGGGGTTATGCTAACATATATATATATATATATATATATATACACACACAGACACACACACACACACACAGACACACACACACACACGGCAGCTCTGTTCCCTAGTGAGTCGACTATGTAGACTGCTCTGCACTCCTTACTCTATGATAGCTTGTTTTGGCCAGATTCAAAGCGCTGCACTCACTCTTTATGCTGAAGGCAATCCCACAATGCTTTGCGACATACCAAGTCAAGTCAAATGTATCTATATTGTGCTTTTCACACTACACAGAAAGTCATAATGTCTGTTGTGCCAGACAGCCCAACTGCTACTCAAACAAGTCCAATCGTGTTCCAGGGGTGCAGGGGATTTAGTTTTAACCCGCAGGACTGAAAAACAGCCTGAATCAACCCTGAAAAACAACAGTATAAAAAACTCAGTTTTAGTGTTAGCCGGAGAATAAGCCGTTGTGAGAATGCAGGATTCAGCGGGCAGACAGATGCACTGATGCGGTGGATATGGATCATGTTTCTGACACGCTTGTTTGTGTAGAGCGCGTGAAATCATCAGTGTGTGTGTGTGTGTGTGTGTGTTGTAGGTGCTGGTGTGGCGTCTGAACTCGGCTGAGGTGCCGGTGTGTGTGATAAACACACACTCTGAGCTGGTGCTGTGTTTGAGTTTTAATGCGGATGGAAGTCTGTTGGCCACGGCCTGCAAAGACAAGAAGATCCGAATCATCGAGCCACGGACTGGGCGGGTCCTGCAGGTGTGTGTGTGTGTGTGTGTGTGGTTATGAACTCTAATGATAAAGGCCTGAGCTTCATCTGTGCGCAGGAGTCTCGCTGTCGCTCTCATAAAGTGTCCAGGATCTTGTTCCTGTGGGATCTGAAGATGCTGGTGTCCACAGGAAGCTCCTGCTGGAACCAGAGACAGTTTGTCCTGTGGGATGTGGTAACTTACCCCCTGACCGCAGCCAATGAGCCGGCCATGACCGCAGACGAGTGGCTGATGGGACAGAATAAAGGTGAGTCAAACTGGACTCAGATAAATGACTGAGAGCCCAAACAGCCAATCAAATCGCTGTGCTCAGAAGCCTTCTTTCTGTCCGTGAAACTTTACTGATCTGTCAGATACAAACCTCCTTTTTTTGGCAAATTCCCTTACTTATAGTAAAAACGTGTTGTTACGGCACATGTCATTTGGATACTAAGCATCCAGAGAGCCAGATAATACAGTTCTGTTTGTTTGGTTCCTAAAATCAGCATGCAATCTCGAAAAACACAAGCTGTCGTTCTCTACGACATTGACCTTCGTCCTTGTTACACTTCTGTGATGTTTTCAACGATAAATACAAAGACTTTGCGTTTGAGCGGTTCTCATTGACCCTCGATCTAATTTGGGCAAATACATGAAGTTTTATATGGCAGAATTCTTCATCAGCATAAAATTAGAGGAGGATATCTGGTTCATTTCTACAGTCTGTTGATTATTGATTATGTGTGGATTATTTGGTCTTATTTAGAAAAACAGCAGCATGCTGAATGCACTGCAGCCAAAGTTATCTTTATTTTAAGACTAAAAGCACATTATTTACACCCATTTGTGTCTTCAAAGCATTCGATTTCCGCTTGTAATTTCACTATTTTCTCACATTCTACCGTGTTTCAGCATCACCAGATACACAAGCTCGTGCGTTCTGATTTTTTGTGTGGTGATAAACTATGAGATTTTGTGTGATGGACACAGACAGAGTACCTGCCCATGAAACGTGGTTAAGTTCGTTCTGTCATCATTTACTCACTCATTCCAAAGTACAAACAGAAATGTTATAAAACCCTGATTTAAATCTATTCATCATGTAAAGCAGTCTGGCCTCTCCAGAAGACTTGGATCATATGTTTCTTCACTGTAGGGCCGCTGCTGATGTCTCTGAGACCTGCAGCCAAAGCGCTCCACACCTGCCCGACTGAATCAGAGGCACCAGCCAATCAGGACGCAGAACCGGCCCCTGACATCATCGCTGACCTGCGGGACTGGACCGAGGACGACACGCAAAGCCACGACTGGACCTCGTCACGCTTCAGTCCGAGCCGCAGCGAAGCCTCCGCGCTCGTCTCAGTCAGGTGCTTGCTCAGGGGTCAGAGGTCGTGCCGCTCTGCGTGTGACCAGCAGGAGGAGAATCCTGCAGCTGGAGCGTGCTTCTGACCACAGCCAATCACCGAGGAGAACATTATGTTGAGAGGGAGCACGTGTGTGTGTGTGTGTGTGTGTGTGTGTGTGTGTGTGTGTGTGTAAATATGACTCATTTTGATTTATGGAGTTCAATGGTATTTGGTTTCCAGACGTGTATTTTTGGGCTGAATTTCTCTTCTTTCACAACAAGAACAACGATTATAACCAAACAGTTTAAATAATCTTGGAGAGAGCGCGTGTGTGTGTGTGTGTGTGTGTGTGTGTGTGTGTGTGTGTGTGTAAATATGACTCATTTTGATTTATGGAGTTCAATGGTATTTGGTTTCCAGACGTGTATTTTTGGGCTGAATTTCTCTTCTTTCACAACAAGAACAACGATTATAACCAAACAGTTTAAATAATCGCTCTAACTCTGAGAACAGTGAAGTCCACAGCTGTGACGATAACGACAGACGGACGATATCGCTGGTGTGGAAGCTAATATAGTTCATTTAAAAAAGTTACACAGAGGTCCTTGGAAGGACAAAAATGTCTGTGTCTAAAAATGCTCATAAAAATATTATATATATTAATATATTTTTTCCGTTTTCACTGACGATTTTCTTTTTTTTTTACCAACATTGCTCCTGATCACTACCAAAAATGCATTCATTTTCAGGATTTTAACCTTTCTAATGTTTGTTTACATAATTCCAATGTTGTTTTTAATGAAAAAAACAATTATTTTCCATATAATAAATGCTAAGCAGAATTGATTTTGGATTATTGCACTCTTAGATTTGTCAATGATCGGCAACAACATTCATTTTGATGCATTGTTATTTTTTGTGCAGTGCCAGATTTAAAAAATCAACAGAATGAAAGCTTATTAGCAACGAATGCATGATTTGATGCTTAAATGGCGCTGGGATTAAATCTTATTATTTTTATTGGGTTTCAGTCGGATATTTTTTGTCCTGAAGGTCCTGAATGTCTATTTTTTTGTATCTTGTGTAAAATAGATTTATGAACGGAAATGAGGGTGAAATATTAACATTCCAATTAAAATACAAAATAATACAATTTAAAAATAAAATAAAAACAAAAAAGGATGTACGCTTAGAAATAAGCAAGAACCCTTTATCTTTGAAAAGTGTATTAAAGGACTCTTAAAGTGATTGGGTCTGTGCTTCAGCACACTGGAGCTGGGTTATAGCTCGTTCACAAACAGCAGAAGGATTTCGACTGGCTTAATTTCATCGCATCAAAAGATAGAAAATAGAATCGCAATAGAATTTCTCTGAACATGCTAACTGTTCTGTCTCGCAATGCGTGAGGCCTTTGTTGTGTGGAAGACTAGCGGAGAACCAAAGCCGTCAGCTGCAGTGCGTTCTGGGTAGTGTCTTTGATATGACCTCTCCTGCTGTCTGGTTTAAAGGTGGCAGTGCCAATCAAAGCTTGACCTTTGACCTTGATACCCTGAGGAGGACCGTAAACTCTACTGGACCGACCGTCATCATCATCAGCGTCCGTCCAGAGGTACGACTCGTCTCTGTCGCTCAGATTAGCTCCATGCAGTGGTTTCCCATGAGCCTTTGCGGTGTCAAAACTGGTTCTGAGGAAATCTGTACTGTTCTGGGAACTTCCTGTTGCTTTTTAAAGCATCTCAGAGGTTTGTCACAGTATAAGACATCAGTGCGTGAGTGTGTGTGTGTGTGTGTGTGTGTGTCTGAGTATGTGTGTCTGAGTGTGTGTGTGTGTGTGTGAGAGAGAGAGAGAGAGAGAGAGAGAGTGTGTGTGTGTGTGTGTGTGTGTGTATGTGTGTGTGTGTGAGAGAGAGAGAGAGAGAGAGAGAGAGTGTGTGTGTGTGTGTGTGTGAGAGAGAGAGAGTGTGTGTATGTGTGTGTGTGTGTGTGTATGTGTGTGTGTGTGAGAGAGAGAGAGAGAGAGAGAGAGAGTGTGTGTGTGTGTGTGTGTGAGAGAGAGAGAGTGTGTGTATGTGTGTGTGTGTGTGTGTATGTGTGTGTGTGTGAGAGAGAGAGAGAGAGAGAGAGAGAGTGTGTGTGTGTGTGTGTGTGAGAGAGAGAGAGTGTGTGTATGTGTGTGTGTGTGTGTGTATGTGTGTGTGTGTGAGAGAGAGAGAGAGAGAGAGAGAGAGTGTGTGTGTGTGTGTGTGTGAGAGAGAGAGAGTGTGTGTATGTGTGTGTGTGTGTGTGTATGTGTGTGTGTGTGAGAGAGAGAGAGAGAGAGAGAGAGAGTGTGTGTGTGTGTGTGTGTGAGAGAGAGAGAGTGTGTGTATGTGTGTGTGTGTGTGTGTATGTGTGTGTGTGTGAGAGAGAGAGAGAGAGAGAGAGAGAGTGTGTGTGTGTGTGTGTGTGAGAGAGAGAGAGTGTGTGTATGTGTGTGTGTGTGTGTGTATGTGTGTGTGTGTGAGAGAGAGAGAGAGAGAGAGAGAGAGTGTGTGTGTGTGTGTGTGTGAGAGAGAGAGAGTGTGTGTATGTGTGTGTGTGTGTGTGTATGTGTGTGTGTGTGAGAGAGAGAGAGAGAGAGAGAGAGAGTGTGTGTGTGTGTGTGTGTGAGAGAGAGAGAGTGTGTGTATGTGTGTGTGTGTGTGTGTATGTGTGTGTGTGTGAGAGAGAGAGAGAGAGAGAGAGAGAGTGTGTGTGTGTGTGTGTGTGAGAGAGAGAGAGTGTGTGTATGTGTGTGTGTGTGTGTGTATGTGTGTGTGTGTGAGAGAGAGAGAGAGAGAGAGAGAGAGTGTGTGTGTGTGTGTGTGTGAGAGAGAGAGAGTGTGTGTATGTGTGTGTGTGTGTGTGTATGTGTGTGTGTGTGAGAGAGAGAGAGAGAGAGAGAGAGAGTGTGTGTGTGTGTGTGTGTGAGAGAGAGAGAGTGTGTGTATGTGTGTGTGTGTGTGTGTATGTGTGTGTGTGTGAGAGAGAGAGAGAGAGAGAGAGAGAGTGTGTGTGTGTGTGTGTGTGAGAGAGAGAGAGTGTGTGTATGTGTGTGTGTGTGTGTGTATGTGTGTGTGTGTGAGAGAGAGAGAGAGAGAGAGAGAGAGTGTGTGTGTGTGTGTGTGTGAGAGAGAGAGAGTGTGTGTATGTGTGTGTGTGTGTGTGTATGTGTGTGTGTGTGAGAGAGAGAGAGAGAGAGAGAGAGAGTGTGTGTGTGTGTGTGTGTGAGAGAGAGAGAGTGTGTGTATGTGTGTGTGTGTGTGTGTATGTGTGTGTGTGTGAGAGAGAGAGAGAGAGAGAGAGAGAGTGTGTGTGTGTGTGTGTGTGAGAGAGAGAGAGTGTGTGTATGTGTGTGTGTGTGTGTGTATGTGTGTGTGTGTGTGAGAGAGAGAGAGAGTGTGTGAGTGACTGTGTGTGGTTTCTCGTTCGTTTTCATAGCTGCCCACAGCTTCTTTCCTGTGGTGACGTATTTCCTATTGAAACAGGAAGTTGGGACACATCAAAGTGCTAGTCCTGCTAAAGGTCATGTGATTCTCATATAGAAGCATCGCTCTTGTGCTTGAACCAGCCAAATGTTCATTCATGTGTGCAGAGAAAACAAGTTTCACCCCAAAATCAAAAGACAAAAACAAATCAATCATATTTAGCATGACGAAACGGAAGCCAGGTTTCAGATTTGCTGCACATTTGAACATCTATAATTCTCATTAGTCTCATTAATGTATAAATACTACAAATAATACACAAAACAGTATAAAATACTATTGTGTTGTATAAATACTAAATAATAGATCATTGTTTTTGTCATGCTACTGTAATGAGAATTTGAACCGATTGTGTTTTAGGACAATACTAATGTCACAACGCAAAATATAAAAACAAAATTATAGAAAATATAATTTCTGTGTTGCTTGTGATTGTGGGGTGGAATATGAATACAGCTGGTCATAAGTTTACACCCCCTTTACTGAATCAGAGGGATCCTTCTTAATACTGTGTGTCGTTACCATGATGATCAATGACTGGTTTCGTATTTTGTGATAGTTGTGCATGAGTCCTTGAGCGGTTCAAAAGTTTTCACCCCCGGCTCTCAATGCCTCGTGCTTCCTTCTGCAGCATCACAGAATGTTTGCAGCTTTATAATAGATGTGCTTTCGTCCCTCGTTCGTTCTCAGCTTGAACAGCTGGATCTCAGAATCATAGTCACTGCTGGGATAAGCTCAAATGTGCAGGATTTTTCTGGAGAACAGTGGACATGATCAGAACAAGAGGCTCATGAACAACCATCACTAAACATTCAGACAGGTAACCAGTATTCATATTCAAGGCTATGTAAACTTCTGAATGGGGTCATTTGTGTAAATATAGCGCCACCTTGTGGCTGATTTGATCATTTCATCTCCTATTTGGAATGCAATAACGAGAAATGGAAAAACGGCTCGTTTATTCGTT